CCACCTCCCCCCCTACTCCCAACCAACGGCACGACAAACTAACAAAACCAGGCGAAACCGAATGGTCCAAAAGCGGCCGCTACACCGGCACCAGCGAGATCGAGCTGACCGCCGACGGGATCAAGCAGGTGGCCGCGTCGGGCAAGATCCTCGTGGGCGCGGGCAAGCTGGTGGACCCAGGCCGCAAGCTGGCGCGGGTGTTCGTCAGCCCCCGGCGACGGGCGGTGCACACCTTCGAGCTGGCGTTCCCCGAGGCCGACAGGCAGGCGCTGCGGGCCGCCGGGAAGGTGCAGGAGAACGACGAGCGGTTGGCCGAGTGGGGGTATGGGCTGTATGAGGGGTTGTTGACGAAGGAGATCCGGGCCCTGCGCAAGGAGCATGGGTTGGATGGGGAGCGGGAGTGGGATATCTGGCGCGATGGGTGTGAGGGGGGCGAGTAAGTTTTCCTTCCTTATTCTTTTTGAGGGGAGGGGGGGAAAGGGGATGGGGTGCTAACGCAGTGCGTGCAGGTCGCCGGAGGATGTGACGGCTCGAATCGATAGTCTGATTGCGGAGATCCGTGAGCTGCACCGTGGGAATATGCATGGCGAGCAGCCTGCCGATGTGGTGCTTATTGCCCATGGGCATACGCTGCGCGCGTTCACGAAGCGCTGGTTGGGCTATCCCATGGAGTTTCCTTTGTCCATGATGTTGGAGCCGGGTGCGGTTGGGGTCCTTAGGTATGTTTTGATGAGGTGGTGTGGTGGGGATGTTGGCTGACGATTGAGTGCAGCTACCAGCATCATAGCATTGATGAGCCGGCGTTCTTGGTCGGCTATGGGTTCCCCTTGGAGCAGTGAGGCTGCGGCTGCACTGGCTGGTGATATACCGATTCACGCCAGAAAGATTGCAGGTACTTGAAGGATTCTAGGTCATATGTTTTGGCGAGGAAAGCTGGATATGGGTGTCCAAGGCTACAGGTAGACTAAAAGAAAATAGAACTAGATTTCAATGCGATGAGGCAGATGGAGTCGCATGCCCAAGCCCAAGTTTGTGGGTCACAATATACAGTGCATATTTTGTCCATGGAATGCCGCAGACAGATGGGTTTGTATGATTTTAGCATGAGCAGCATACGCAGGCCAAGGCCACAATTTGCTCCGAACAATGCACATTTCTTAGCTAACATGAGGGAATTTAGCCAGAAAAACACAGACTTCACAAATAAGCGAGCAGTCTATTCGGCGTAGGTGTACGGAATCAACCTGCAGATATAAGTAACATAAATTCCGCTGTGCTTCCCAGAGCCGGATGTTGTACTGTACCTCGGAAGCACATGCTCCAACCCACCCGCAATGATGCGACCATCCCCTGGCACATCTAACAGGACCACCAACCCCATTAGGGCTTTCCCGAGGCACAAGTAAGCAAGCACAAGCCTTTAATCTATATCCACCCGGCCAACATGCGGGGTGGGGATCTTATCACATCTGTCACATATTAACTCGTCCGGATCCGGCAATCCGTGATGCCAATCATCAGGGTCCCTGCGCGGGGGCAACCTGGGATCGGCAATGGCAATGGGCAATGACGGGAAAGGTACCCGTTCGAGGAGACGAGAAACGAGGGTTCTGGTTCTGCATGAGGTGCTGCCTGAGTGAAGTGGCAATTGATGTCCGAGGTGGTGGGTTTCTGCTCGAGCTGACGCACTGGGATGCAAACCCTTGAAAGATCCCTGTCTGTCGATAAAAGAGGGGTAAAATGGATGAGCTAGACAATGACACCATTGCCCTAGATATAAGGGTCTTGACAGCCCTGCTCGTGCGTGTGAAGCACGCTTCACGCTTCATGCTTCACGCTTCACATCCTCTCCTCTTCCCACCTCAAGTGCAACCAACCCCTCCACAAGAAGCCAGCACCACCAAAAAACATGCTCAAACTCACCCTTCCGATCATCCTCCTCCTCACCCTCCTCCTCCCCCCTCTCCCAGCCACCGCGACCCCGGCCTCCCCCCAACCTCAGCTGACCACACGCGACGCCTCCGCCGTCCTCGCCGCCGTAACCACCATCTCCACGCAACTCACCACCCTCAACACGACAGTAAGCGCCTACCCTGGCGGCCTCGAGGGCTCGCTCAGCGCGCTGCACATCCAAGCCGAGACGATCCAGCTGGAAGTCGACCTGAAGGCGGCGGTCGTGGCCGCCAAGCGGTCGGCCAATTTCTCCGACGCGGAGTCCCTGAGCGTGGCGCAGGCGTTTGTCGCGCTCGAGCCCACCATCGCCTCCACGCTCGCCAACCTGGTCGCCAAGAAGTCCGAGTTCGATGACGGGCTGCTGGGCGTCGCGTCGCTGAGCTTCCTGGTGGAGTGGGATCTCGAGCAGCTGAGCTTCCTGTCGAGTCAGTTGGGCAAGGCCGTGCAGGAGAAGCTGTCGGCGACGTATGCGGCGTTGGCGCCGTTGGTGTTGGACCAGATTGCCGCGGCGTTTGCGAGTGCGATTCAGGCGTATCAGTAGGTGGGAGTTGGGGGGTGGAGTGCGTGGGCTGGAGCTTTGTTTGGGGGGGGGGGGGCGGTGGTTGTTTGCTGTGGGCTTGTGCGGCGCGCTTCAATAACTGCATGATACCGAACTCATGGCGTGCTCGGGTTTCTTCGCTGGAAAACTAGTACGGACCGTGGTCAGAGAAACTGATTACAATCATCCTGATCAACCGAGCAGAAAATTGATGCATTAGGTATTTATCGTATTTGACCTATATAATTCATCTCCATTAAGCAACACCCCATTTCCCTTACAATGGTTTATGTTTATCATGCACAAAACAGCCTGCTTCCCAAAACTCCGGCTTCTCTAAACCAAACGCCCCTCTAATTGCGCAGCCCATTGGGGTATCCATTGGCCGCGATCTGACGGAACCCGTTCATCACGCCGTCGCTGAACACGTTCTTCTTCTCGTCGACCACGCCATTGGTCTTCTTTCCGTCGGCGACGACACCGTTGGTCTTCTTCTCGCCGTCGACCATCTTCTGCTGCGCGTGGATCTGCGGATCCACCGGCTGGTTGTTGATCGTGTAGCCCGTGTCGCTGGCGTCGACGTAGGCCTCGATCCCCGCCCCCTGCCGCGGGTACTCCTTCATCAGCTCCTTGTGCCGGCGCAGCGCGGCGAACATCTCCTCGTTGGTGACGTCGTTCAGGAACTTGCAGCTGCCCAGCGGGCAGGGCACGGCGGCGCGCAGCAAGCCGTCCCGCGTCTTGAGGATCGCCTGCGTGGCTTTGTCGAGGATCTCCTCGTTGAAGAGCTCGTGGTCCATGGACAGGCCCGCGCGGGAGAACAGGTTCAGCAATCTCCGGTGCTCGGCGTCGCTGAGCAGGCCCCGGATGTTGGCCAAGGTGGCCGAGTAGGCCATGTCGATGGAGATGGCGTGTCCGTGGCGAAGGGGGACGGGAGGCGCCAGCTGCGAGGGCACAATGTTAGTCAAACACTCTCTTTCTGCTAGCTTCGCCAGGCTTCAAGGGAATTCTCACCTCGTGTAACGGCGACCAGGTGTGCCCGTACGCAATGACCCGGTCCAGCCCGATCTCATGCAGGTTGGGCGACTCGAGCTTCAGCATCTCGAAGATGCCGTTGCGGTTGATCTCGTCGGCGGCCCTGCGCACCTCGCCCGTCTCGTCCTGCGACCGCCCGAACTTGGTCGCGATCAGCCGCTCGCAGAACTCGTCCAGCAGGTCGAACGTGCGCAGGTGCGCGCAGCTCGAGATCTTGATCAGCTCCGCGAACCCGTTGCGCACCTGCGCCTCGGGCAGCGTGCGCAGGAACCCGAAGTCCAGGAAGGTATGCATCGGCGCGTGGTAGGCGCCCAACCGGTTCTTGTAGTTGCCGTAGTTGACGGCCACCTTGATGCTGACGCTGGCATCGATGAGGCCGATCACTGTGGTGGGGATGCGGACGTAGTTCGTGTTGCGGCGGTAGGCGGCACAGGCAAATCTGTATGGGTGCATTAGCCATTAGGTCATGTTTATGTTAGTGGTGATTCTTACCCGGCAACATCGGTGACTAATCCTCCGCCCTATTGATCGTCAATGAGTAACTGCGTTAAAATGTCCAGATTGTTGGATCGGACATACCACAACCAATACGGGCTCCTTTCGGATGATCCCGAAGTCAGTCATCGAATCGACAATCTCAGTAAAAGTCTCCAATGACTTGGCCTTCTCTCCAATCATGGTCTGGTGGATCTTCAGCTCCAGACCGTGGTGGTCAAAGTACTTCTGCATCTGCTCCCCGTAGAGATCATAGATGTTCTTGTCCATGATGGCCAAGCAACGACCCCAGCGCTCATAGAGGCCCGCCAACTGAGTGTTCTGGGGATCGAAGACGCCATCGAGGAAGGTAAAATCATACTCGATCTTCTCGTAGCCCTCGACGTGGAAGCCGTTCTTGGTCTCGGAGACCGTAGCCTTGAGGTCGGACATGGTTGCAGCAGTGTTGAATGAAGCACAACCGTGAAAGAGGAGTTGAGAGAAGTTGATGATTTTCCAAATATTGACACGGAGGTTCTGGGATATATAACGATTGTTCGCCTGCCACTCAGGTTGCCGGGTGGAACACGTTTCCCTCGGACTGGCCCTCTGCTTGCGACCAGACCACGATCACGTCAATGGAGCGTACCAACCTCGAACAGACACTAACTCCAGTGAGGGAGCATCGATCGATCGGGTTCACTCGGGGGATGGGACTGTTCGGAACAAGTCAGGCTTGGAGTCTCATAGGTATGTATGACATAGTCATTGAAAAGCGGGCCCACTACGCCAATTGCTGCAAGAGTAGACGCCGCTTCCGGCCTTAGCGTCCGCTTCTGCAGCGATAAGGTTACACCACCAGGGGGGACCCGTAGATCTAACCTTGATAAGCTTGATATTTTCCGGCAGTCATTGACGACAAGAGAGTCAATGTAATCCTCCCCACGTCAAGACTTGGTAACCACGATCGGGAGGGCTGATCGATTGATCGGGGCCCACGCCGATCCTCCCTCCTCCCTCCCCCCTCCGCCCTGCTTTCTACCACCTCCCCCCCCCCTTTCTCACCCCGCCCGGGGCAGATTCCGGCCACTGGAGGAGGGCCTGGAATGTCCGGCTTTTACCCCTTGCAGTCTCCCGGCGACAGTCCATGACTCGAGGTTCCCTGGTTTTCCCTGTTCGCAGACTGAGACCCTGCCCCCATCCGGCTGGCTTGGCAATTTTGTCCTTGGTGCAACGTACACAGCACACTAAATTTATCCCGTTGATTACAACACCATCGACGGCTTGGATCCAGATGTTGTGGGGAGATTTCCCATATAGGCGCACGATCACCGGGTACAATCATGGCCCATCAAGACACCGCGAAAATGACTAAATTCGACCAGGCCAAAGCATACGCACCGCAGGAGGAGGGGACGGGGTTCTTCGACGACGGTCGCGAGATCGAGCTCCTCCATTTTGTGTACTCGCACCCAGACCTGGAAAACATTCGCGGCTCCCCGGAGAAGGTGCTCCAGGCGATCGACGAGTATGGGCGCACGAAGAAGTACCTCATGAACGTGGGAGAGGATAAGGGGCGAATTGTTTGCGACCTTATCGCAGAGGTCAAGCCTAAAGTCATGGTATGTCGATGCTGCGACCGGCAGCGAGAGTGAATTGTACTGATTCTTGCACAGGTTGAACTCGGTGGTTATGTTGGCTACTCCTGCGTGCTGTTCGGCAACGCCGTGCGGAAAGCCGGCGGCCAACGCTACTACAGTCTGGAGATGAACCCGGAGTTTGCGGCGGTGATCATGTCGCTGGTTGATCTGGCTGGTCTCTCGGATGTGGTCAAAGTGGTCGTCGGCTCCAGCGATGCCTCCATTGCGCGCCTGCACGCCCAGAGTCTGCTTAAACACATCGATCTGATGTTTCTGGATCACTACAAGCCGGCGTACACGACGGATTTGAAGCTGTGCGAGGAGCTGAAGCTGATCACTCCGGGCTCTGTCCTGGCTGCTGACAATGTC